CTCCCTCCCACCAGGGAAAAAACTTGGTTAGCCATTGATGGTATGGATCCAGTGAGTAAATTCGAAAGCTAAGCTGTTGGTTGAAAGTGGGGACTTACTTGGTAGATTACATTGCTAACATCTGGCTCCTCTTCGTGAACTCCAGTAAATCATTCTGACTTACTCAGCATCACCAACAAGGCTTCTTGGCCAGTATGGATATTGAACCTGAATATACTGTAGTCTACAGATCTCATTTTTAATATATGGGAAGTGTAGAAAATAAGAAAATATGATAAGCACCATAAGAGGTGGATAGGATAAGGGCATCGGGTATTTTTTTTCTTTTTTTTTAATTAAGATTTTTAAATGCACTTTTCTCATTTTACATAGATATCCCCGTTCCCACTCCCTCCCTTCCTCCTATTCCAACCTTCCCTCCACCCCATCCCCCCCATCCACTCCTCAGAAAGGACAAGGCTTCCCATGGGGAGTCAACAAAGTCTGACACTTCACTTTGAGGCAAGACCAAGATCCTCTCCCCTGTATCTAGGCTGAGCAAAGTATCCCTCCAAAGAGAATGTGCTCCTAGACACCAGTTCAAGCCCTAGGGATAAATCCTGGTCCCACTGCCAGTGGCCCCACAGACTGCCCAAGCCTCACAACTGTCTCCCACATTCAGTGGGTCTAGTTTGGTCCTCTGCAGGGTCCCCCACTATCAGTCCAGAGTCAGTGAGCTCCCACTAGCTCAGGTCAACTGTTTCTGTGGGTTTCACCATCATGGTCTTAACCCCTTTGCTCATATTATTGCTCCTTCCTCTCTTGGACTAGTCTTCAGTAGCCTCTTGGATTGGTCTCTGAGATCTCTGTATCTGCTTCCATCAGTTGCTGGATGAAGGTTCTATGATGACAATTAAGGTAGTTATCAATTTGATTACAGGGGAAGGGCAGTTTAGGCGTCCTCTCCACTGCTGCTGAGAATCTTAGTTGGGGTCATCCTTGTGGATTCCCGGTAATTTCCTTAGTGGCATGTTTCTCGCTAGTCCCTTAATAACTCCCTCAATCAAGATATCTCTTTCCTTTCCCTCACTGTCCTTCCTCCTTCTTAAGCATCCTGTTCCCTCAAGTTCTTCTCCTCCCCCTTCCTCCCCTCCCCCTCCTCTTCCACCCTCCCTCCTAATTTTCTCAGGAGGTCTTGTCTGCTTCCCTTTCTCGGCGGTATTGATGTATGTCTTCTTGTTACCTAGCGTCTCTGGGTTCGTGGGCATGGGGTATTGTAAAGTTACAGTTTCTCTTCCTGACATAGTAATCTCGCCTTTAGCCACGGTGACTTCTCTAACTCTTAAGAGTGAATTTTCTTTATTTCTTACTCTGTTTCAAATTGGTTTGTTTACTGGAGACCAAAGTGTCTTAGGTGCTGATGCAGAGAGAGAAAAGCCCCACTTCGAGTCAGCGCATTGTATTGAGCAGAAACAGACCACAAATAAGTAAATACATGCTGAGAAGTGTTGGAAATAAGGCGAGGCAAGAGGTCTTGCAAGTGAAAGTGGTGTGTGCCATGGGCGAGGGGAGCCTGCAAAGAAAACATCCGGAGCAGGAGCATCCCAGAGAGAGAAGCGGTCGGGTCGGAAAGCACCAGGGCTCACTGGGGGTCTTCAGGAGCAGCAAGAGATTTTCAGAAGCTGGGGAAGGAGGTCAGGGGTATATGTAGGGTGTCTGTGTGGAGGTGAGAGAGAGATTGAGCACTGCTGCCTAGCCTCTGAAGGTCAAGGTCAAGAGTTCAGTGTTAGGGGCTGGGAGAAAGCTGCATTGGGAGAAGTGCTTGCCTTGTAAACATGAGATCTGAGTTAATTTCCAGAACCTATTTTTTTTGCCTGGCCTGGTAGTGGACTTGAAATCCCAGTGCTGGAATGGAGTGTCAGACTTTCTTTGGACCACCAGCTCTGCAGAGACTTCTTACTAATTATGAAAGCTGGGCCTTAGCTTAGGCTTGTTCCCAACTAGCTCTTAAAACTTCAATTAGCCAGGCGGTGGTGGCGCACGCCTTTAATCCCAGCACTTGGGAGCCAGAGGCAGGCAGATCTCTGTGAGTTCGAGGCCAGCCTGATCTACAGAGCGAGTTCCAGGACAGCCAAGGCTACACAGAGAAACCCTATCTTAAAAAACAAACAATAACTTAGATGAACCCATTTTTGTTGCTGTATTGATCTGCATTCTGCCGTGTGGCTCATTATCTCTCCTCACTCAGTACAGTATGTCCCACTTCCTCCATGTCTGAATGGCAAATCCCGCCTCTCTTCTTCCCAGAGTTTCTAGATCTCCCCGGAAGTCCCGTCTAGCCTCTCCTGCCTAGCTACTGGCCATTCAGCTCTTTATTAAGCCAATAAGAAGGTGCCTTGGCAGAGACACATCTTCACAGTGTACAAAAAGCTTATCCCACAACACTGGGAAGGCAGAGGCATGCAGACCTCTGGTGCTGAGAGGCTGCCAGTCTGGCCAGCTTGGTGAGCTCCAGGCTCGGATGAGAAACCCTGTCTCAAAAGATGGTGGACAGGGCATAGGAAATGATACCCCAGTGTGCTGGATAGGTTTATGTCAATTTGACACCAGCTAAAGTCACCTGAGAGGAGGGATCCTAAATTGAGAAGATGCCTCCATAAGATCTGACTGTAAGTGAGCTTGTAGGGCATTTTCTTGATTGGTGATTGATTAAGGAGGACACAGCCCATTGTGGGTGGAGCCTTCCCTCGGTTCTATAAGAAAGCACATTGAACAAGCCATGAGGAGCAATACAGTACACAGCACCCTTCCATGGCCTCTGCATCAGTTCCTGCCTCCAGGTTTCTGCCCTGTTTGAGTTCCTTCCATGATGAAAAGTGATGTGGGGGTGTAAGCCAAGTTAGCCTCCCCTCCCTGTAGGTTGCTTTGGTATCACAGGCTGTCCTCTGGCTTTCACAAGAGCTGTGTGTGTGTGTGTGTGTGTGTGTGTGTGTGTGTGTGTTCGCATGCACACATGCATGTATGCATGGGGAGAGAGAATTCAGCTTTGAGAGTGGAAGACACACTGCAAGATTTAACACAGAAGGAGAGTGTGTGCTGTAGACATGGGTAGGGAAAAGTCAAGAAGCAGGAAAACAGGTCAGGTGAGAGAAGATGATGACTTGACCAGATTAATAGCAGTAGAGGCCCGCAGACTGCATCAGCTCCTGGGAGAGTGGACAGGATCGCTAATGGAATAGACAGGAAGTTCAGAGGCAAGTGGAAATGAATGAGTCCCAGGATTTTTTTTAAGCTCAAATAATTATAGCAATAGAATACCATTGACTGAAATACAGGGGAATCAGGGTATGTTGGAGATCAGCTTTGAAATATTAAGTTTGAGTTGCATGTAAAGCCATCCAAGTTGGCTATGGTGGCCCACACCTTTTCTATTGCTGTGAAGAGACACCATGACCAAGGCAACTTATAAAAGAAAGCATTTAATTGGGGGCTTGCTTACTGTTTGAGAGGGTGAACCCATGACCATCATGGTGGGAACTGTGGCAGCAGGCAGGCTGGCCTGGAGCTGGAGTGGTAGCTGGGAGCTCAGATCCTGACCCATTAACTGGAGGTAGAGAACAGAGACGTGGGCTTTTTGAAACCTCAAAGTCCACCACCAGTGACACAGCTCCTCCAACAAAGCCACACCTACTCCAATAAGGCCACACCTCCTAGTCCTTCCTAAGGGTTCCACCAACTGAGGACCAAGCATTCAGATATATGAGCCATGGGGCCATTCTCATCCCAGCCACCACGTCTGTTATTCTAGCTCTTGGGAGGTGGAAGCAGAAGGATCCATTCAAACCAGCTTCAGGCTGGCCCTGGTGTATGCCTTTATCTTAGGGGGTGGCAGAGTCAGGTGATTCTCTGAGCTGGAGGCCAACCTGATCAACATAGTGAGACCCTGTCTCAAAAACAAACAAGGACAGGACAACATCACAAGGCAGCCTCTCCATGGACCTGTCTGTTATCAGTTCCTGTGGTTTGGTCTTAAGTACACTATCTTAAGATCTCTTCCTCATCTTCTGATCATCATTGACCTAAAATAACTGATATAAAGACCAACTCTCTGTATATGGTGGGGTTTGGGGGCACCGGGTGTATAAGATGGGGACTGGCTGCTCTGAGGTGTGGTCGAGGAGAAGGTTTCTATTGTAGACATGAAGAAGAGCACAGCCAGAGGCGCCCGAAAGAGTCCAGAGCAGGGAGAGAAAGTAGAGCACTGAACGTGACCAGTAGACTGAACTGAGAGAGGAGAGAGGTGTGGAGGGAGCGAGAGAGGAAGAAAAGAGAAAGGAAGAGGAGAAGGCCAAGAGAGAAGGGCCGAAGGACCAAAGTTATATAGGATGGAGGAGCTGGGGGAAGGGAAGCCGGTGCACTGGTGAAGTTTAGGGTAGGGGCAGAGTGAGGAGCTGAGAGGAGCCATGGATAGTTGTGATACTGAAAAAGGCCCGAGGCCAGCATGTCTGCATCTGAGCATGCTGGGAACGAAAAGGGAAAGGGGAAAAGAAAAGAGGAGACAGGAAAGAGGAATGTCTATCCAAGCTGGAAACAGAGCATTGCTCACTCTGCTGTGTCTGGAGCTGGTGTGGGCTCTTGGGGGAGCTGGCTACGTTAGAATCGCTTATGTGGGATATTCCTTTGCAGGAATTCCTGACTATTCTGTTGTGGGCACATATGTATGCAGGTTCCCCTTCATAAAGAGTTTATTTCTGAACATTCCTTTATCGGTATGCATGTGTGTGGACAAGCGCCTCCTTCAGGGAAGGTTTGGCAGAAAGGACTCCATGTTGGTTGTGACATCTTTCATGTCGTACTCCTGCATAAAATCGCTTTGTAAATGATCTGGTTGCTTATTTATTAAGCAGTTTTAAGTTCCAGTAATAGTGCTTGTCTCGTTTACTTTTGGAAGGAATAAAAAGTTGTGTTTTCGTGCTTTCCATGTAGATTAAAATAGACATTAATTGACACCCCCTCCTTAGCTCTTCACGTAGGACGCCTGAGGAAAACGGTCAGGAAGGATGAGCGAACTGGAACAGTTGAGGCAGGAAGCTGAGCAGCTGCGGAATCAGATCCAGGTAGGAAGTGCCCCACATTGAAGCCTCACCGCTTAGCTTCGTTTCTGCTGTTTAGTTTACCATCAGCACATACTAAATCATTCCCAAGGCTAGAAGTGGCTGGCCTGAGCTAGCTGTGATATCCTACACCTCCAACCTCAGCACTCAGGAGGTAGAGGTGGGGGGGTCTGGAGTTCAAGGTCAGCCTTTGTTACTTGGCGACCCTGTCTTGTGGAAACATTATGGAAATGGTTAAGGTGTTTTCATCCTGTTTCTAGAGAATTCTTCCCCAAATCATCCCAAGCAACTACCCATGCTAGCAAATGACACCTGCCACTGAAAAATGAATAGAAAAATGGGAAACAGACCTCTGGCAGGTAAGATGGCTCAGTGGGTAAAGGTGCTCGGTGCCAAGCCTGGTGACCTGAATTCTGTCACTGGGACCCACACAATGGAAGGAAAGAACAGGCTCCTGACATCTGTCCTCTGACCTGCACATAAATGCTGTGGCGAACATGGCCCACACACAAAGTAAAATTTTAAAATTAATGAAAAGTAGACTGTCGAATCTAGCTGAGAGACAAGTGTAATGATGAGTTCTCATCCAGGAAGGCATCTGTGTGAGAGAAGAAGGCTTACGGGGAACAGTGTGACCGAAACCAGTCTCCACACAGATGAAAATATAGTGAAACCCATAGTTATTATATGCCAATGGGAAGCACTTAACAAGCCTCTTCTTCACACACGGAGATTTTGAGTGGGATATGTGGGACAGATCTTACCATATAACTTGAAGCGATTTTATCTCGACAGTATTCTGTTACAAAACAAGCCTAAAGGACAGATGTGACACCTCTCTGTCTTAGAAAGCAACTGCAAAGCACAGCAAAGAAGGAACAGATGATAAACTGAAGGACACCTAGAACACTGGTCACCGCGCTACTTAGGCTAGGGCAGGAGACTTGAGTTCAAGGCTAGCCAGGTCCACCCACCTTAAAAACAAACAAAAGATACTGAGATGTTTAGAGCCTTCTGTGAGGAAGAGCTGCCACGGGCTGTGGGTGGGCAAGCACCAGGGGTGGAGTCTGTAAGTGAGTCTCAGGAAGTAAGTGCCCCAAGGGGCATCAGTGAAACAGACACTTAACTTTTGGGAAGAAGGGCAAAGCAGGAGAAACCATGCTGACCTGGGATGTAGTGGGGGCCTGGCCAGCATGGATGATTGGCTAGTTCAAGACCAGTGGTTCTCAACCTGTGGTCGCGACCCCCTGGGGAGTCAAACAACTCTTTCACAGGGGTCTCCTAAGACCATCAGAAAACACAGATATTACATTATGATTCATAACTGTAGAAAAATTACAGCAATGAAATAGCAATGAAAATAATTTTATGTTTGGGGTCAGCGCAACATGAGGAACTAGGTTAAAGGGTCACAGCATTAGGAAGGTTTAGCATTATACACTGCTCAGGACAGTGTAAAAGTCTGCAGAGATGTTGTGAGGAAGAAGGGGGCGAGAAGACAAAAGGATGAAGAACAGCCAACAGAAAGTGCTATCCAGGGAGAGACTCTCTGCCTTTAACAGAAAAGGTGGTTTTCCTGCACCTGGGGTGTAGTTCAGCAGTGGAGCCGGTATTTAGGACGTGGAAAGCTCTGAGTTTCATCCCAGCACCAAATATAAAAAATAAAGGTAGAAAAATCCCAAGCTGCATCCCTGCACACTGGACTCATACGCCGAAAGTGCTTACTAATGGTGACCGTGACAGTGTTTGAAATTTAAGCTGGGTGTGGTGGCGCACGTCTATAATGCCAGTGCTTGGGAGGCAGAGGCAGGCAGATCTCTGTGAGTTCGAGGCCAGGCTGGTCTATAGAGTGAGTTACAGGACAGCCAGGGCTACCAGAGGAACTTTGTTTAGAAAAACACAAAAGAAAACAAAATACACACACAAAAAAATTTTATACAAATTTATGATGTAAAATTCTTGGAAGTAAACCTGGTAGATCTTCTCATACCCTTTGATTAGGAAATAGCTGTCATGACCCACACGGCCTGGGGATTGCCCTAACTGGGTGACAGAAATGAAAAACATGACAGGAATACTCACAGAAACCCTGGATCGGGTGGGCCACGCGCTCTTCTGGAGGCACAGCACAGCGGCCTGTTCGTTCAGTCAGTGACTCAGCCAGCAAACGGTGGGTAGTTAAGAAAGCTCCTTCAGGGAGCCCTCTCGGGCTACAGTCATCCAGGAGGGGGAAACTGGGGTTGGTAGTGTTTGCACACACTGGTTTTAGATAAAGGTCAGTCATTTGTCAACAGCCACACCCAGGCCAAGAGAAAGACTGTACCAGTCCTGTGAACCTGACCTAGGGAAGACTTTGCCATTCCCATGGGTCTGACAGTTGGGGTCCTTGACATGGTCATAGTCATGTCAATAATACACACTCTCTCTGTGTGCTCCAATTAAATATGATGTCAAAAATTCAAAAAAAAAGGAAAAAACTCAGAAAATTATATCTCATTATATAAACATTTATATATCAAAAAACTATCAAGGGGCTTAGTGGTTAAGAGCACTTACTGCTCTTGCAGAGGACCCAAGTTCTGTTCTCAAAGCTCACACCAGCAGACTCAACTTACCTATATCCAGTTCCAAGAATTTAACACTTCCTGGCCTCTGCAGGCAATTCACACACATACACATATGCATAAATTAAAAAAATATATATTTTAAAACTATCAAGTTTGAAAATTGTACTTCTTGTAAGGGTCAAGTATCTAGAATAAGTAACAAACTACTGTTTGAGCTGGGCGGTGGTGGCGCACGCCTTTAATCCCAGCACTCGGGAGGCAGAGGCAGGCGGATCTCTGTGAGTTCGAGACCAGCCTGGGCTACAAGAGCTAGTTCCAGGACACGCTCCAAAGCTACAGAGAAATCCTGTCTCAAAAAAAACAAAACAAATAAATAAAAAAATAAAGAACTACTATTTGGATAATAAAAAGACAACGATCTAAAAATTGGCAAAAGCTTTAAAAGAGGTCCCCTGAAAGACATGGAAACACAGATACACAAGCATACACACATCACACTCGGGCCCAAACACAGATGTACACCAACAATATACATACACAGATTTTTTTTTTCTGCCTCTTTCTCGAGTGCTGAGACTAAAGGCGTGCGCCACCACCGCCTGGCACATGTACAGATTTATACTCACAGACAGACACACACACACACACACACTCACACACACAGGAAGTGCATGGGAAGATTCACGATAAAATCCAAACCACAGTGAGCTACTTCACAACTAAGATGGCCGTGACTAAAAGCACAGACTAATCATAAGAGTTGGCGGCGACATGAAGATGCTAAGGAGGTGGAACCCTGGACATGGCTGCTGCAGCCGCTCTGGGCGCTAGCAGGTAGACGTCCCAAAGAGATGGAAACCGTGGGAACACAGCATCATGCTTTGAAATTACTGGAAGGTGGAAACCATCTATGCCCCAAAATTCTCAACTACCAGATAGAATGCTGAAAAATCATCCATTAGAACTGTCTGCCTTAAAGTGGAGGTACACTGCTTGAGGCTGTAACATACAGTAACATGGCTGAACCCTGGAAACATGCAAAGCGGAAGAAGCCGTGTACTGTGTGACTTGATTTACAAGAGAGGTCTGATTGGCAGGTCCACACGGAAAGGACAGAGTGGAGGGAGGAGAAGTCGAGGCATACAGAGAAGGGGATTGGGTAGATTGGGGACAGACAGATAGACATGGTAAACACATCCTAGATTGGATTATGACGTGGTTCAATTCTGAATTACTGGAAAACTGCTAAATTGTGTACCTTAAATGGCCCCTTTTATGTTAGGTAAAGTGTATTTCAGAAAAATTTAAAAATTAGGTGACATGATACAGTAAAGGTTTATTTTCAGTAAACACAGCCTGTTACTCTAGCGGTTCCCCCATCTTAACATGTCATCATTTTTCTTTGCTCTAGGATGCTAGGAAGGCCTGCAACGATGCCACACTGGTTCAGGTAAAGTGTCCCCAGTTCATGTCAGCGGTTCACGTGAAGTATCACAGTAGGGTGACATCCAGATGTTGTTACTCCGGGTGTCACTGCTGAAATAGGAGTCTGCGGGACAGTAGGCGCCGTGACACGCAGGGGCATCTAGTTCGTGCTTGTTCTTCAGCACTTCCTGAGTTTTTTTGTATATGCTGGCTACGCTGTTTTCTTGTGCACTCGTGTGCGTTGCCCTCAGAGGCCAGAGGGAAGAGTCAGATCCCCTGGAACTGAATTACAGATGCCTGTGAGCTGCCTGCCATGTGGGTGCAGGGAATTGAACCTGGGTCCTCTGGGAGAGCGGCCAATACTGCTGAGCCATCTTTCCGGCTCCATGGCTTTCTTACAGACAGTTAGAGATGTTTTCTTAATCATTTATTTCTAGTTTCCCTTTGTGACTGCATTTTTTTCCTATCGAAACATGGTGTGTCCATATTTGTGGGCACACTGTGACAACTGGGTACTTATGCAGTGTATCAAATCAGGGTGGTAAGAGTTTCCAGTGTTTGTCATTGCTTTGTGTTGAGAGACCCAGGCTACCTCTCCCTAGTTCTTTATAAACTGATAGGGGCTAGCCGATAGATGTTTGGTAGAGGGCTTGAGGCCAGGCAATTGCCATGCAAGCTTGAAGACCTCAGTGTGATCCCCAGAATTGGAGCACAGTGGAAGGAGGGAAAGGCACCGGCCACAAAGAAGTTGCCCTATGACCTCAGCTTGTACCTCCTGTTCTCTCTCTCCTCCACCCCCCCCCCCCCCCCCCCCGCCACACACACACATACTGCACCCATACAATAATACATAAAACCTTTAAAGTATTTGTAGGCTGGCATGTTTTGCAGACAGCTTTCTTGATGAGCAGCTCAAACAGTCCTGCAGAGGGCAGTTTGCCCAGTCACCCCTCTTCCTTCTCACTGTGGTTGGAGTTTTTTTTAAAGTTTGGATGTCTGTTTCCTCGGCTGAAAAAGCCTCCTCAGCCCCAGCAGCACACAGGATGACCCCTGTTAATCATGGTTTCCTTGAACTGAACTCACAGCGATGCTCTTGTTCTCTTTGTACCAAATCACCTTCAGCTGCTGCGAATTTGTTTCTGCTTTTTATCTACGCCATGTCTAAGGTAAAGAGTAATGTTATTATCACTTTCTAAAGATCACGTCTAATATGGACTCTGTGGGCCGGATACAAATGCGAACAAGGCGCACGCTGCGGGGCCACCTCGCTAAGATCTACGCCATGCACTGGGGATATGATTCCAGGTCAGTGGCTGTCGCTTCTGAAGTTGTTTCATCAGGAATCATTGTTTGTGTTTTCTCTCTTCAAAGCAAGCCTCATTTGTGCAGTGTTGTAGAAAAGGTGTAAATTACGAACATGCTCCTTGTACTAGGAATGAATATTCATTGCCAGGTTTAGAACCGTTTGTTTGTTCCAGCGCGGGGCTCAAACCCAGAAGCTCTGATTTGTTAAAGCTTACAGAGTTTTTAGGGCATGCAAGACGGCTTCTTGGGTAAAAGTGTTTGACTAGTGGTCCCGTAATCTGCACATGTGCGCCCACAAGTAGACATAAACATACAGAGTAATAACAGTGTTAATACATAGTTTTTAAAGTTTCTAATGTGAGAAAATGCTTCTCAAAAAGATCTTTATCTAGTGACCTATGGAAACTTTATTTATTTATTTTTGGGCACAACTGCGTTTTTTAAAAAATTTCATTTTAGGTTCCAACCACAGTTCTCCCTCCCCCTCCCTCCACCTCCCCTTGCCTCCGCCCCAGCCCACTGTGGAAACCACTTAGCGGAGGATTTCTCGCTGTGTTCTAGAATTAATAAGCCTTCCCAGTGAGAAATCACCCTGCACCCTTAGAGGTTAGTAGAGGAAAAAGCTCTCTAAGATAGCGCCCGTCCAGCTCTGGTGAATGCTCCAAGTGGAGCTGGCCTAGTGAGCTAGGGACCTAGCTTAGGGACACTTGAGGCTTCTGCATTCCACAGGCACTGTCATCCTTAAATCTCCTTCACGTCCTGGCCCAGGTTAGACCTTGAAGAGTTTAAACAGACAGGAGACCGCAAGTCTGGCCCTTTAGGCAGATGAGAGATTTGCACAGAAGACACTACCTATTGCCAGACTATTTTAAGTATACCAGAGTATACTTTTCCATTGTTATCCGGGGTCCTTTTGCCCAGGGCAGAATGATACTCTTCTGCTGTTCTCAGCACTTGGGGCTTGACGGCAGGCCTGGACTTTGGTTGTGACCCTGGGCTGCTCCTGGCAGCCTATTAGAGGTCTGTTCTTTGATATGGGGATGGTCTAATGACTGCTTGTAAATCAGAGTTGTCCCCTTTGTTATTGGAACGGAGCCTAAAGCCTGCTCAATCCTGGAGAACACTGCTTTCCTGGCATCTTAAATTTTACTCATCTCTAACAGGCCTGGTCAGCAAACACCTCTAGGGTGTTTTTGGAGGAGCAGTCTATGACAAAAGTCTACTTTCTGTGATTTATTGTCTTCCAAGCAGATTAGTAAAACTTTTATAACGACATTATCTTTACAGAGGAGTGTTATACGTGTTTTTTTTTTAATATGTCAAAACTATTTGTTTTGGGAGGGGTTGTTCCTTTTAAGACAGGTTATTGCTAAGTAGCTCCAGCTAGCCTTAAAGCCATTATTCTGGTGACTCAGGCCCCTGAGAGCTAGAATCACAAGTATGTATAAACCAACCACAGGATTGCTCCATAGTATGGTTAGGGGGAACATCCAGAGACATCCAGAAAAGTCCAGAGCAGAGACTGGGCCGGGCTATGAGAGGAGGAACTGAGCAGAGAGATGGGGAAGGGAGACAGAGAAGGGGTAACTGGGGGAGGGAAGCCTGTGAGGTGGAGGGAGGTTAGGGGAGGGCAGGAGATGAGAAGAGCTAACAGGGACTTGTGAAAGAGGGAACTTGGAGGCCAGTGTGTACTTTGGACCACAGAGAGAGCCTTTTGGAATTTGGGGCTATGGAATTTCCTTTATACCTGACAAAATTTGGGCATCATTCCTAGCCAAGACTTATATTAAAATAGCAGTTAATAAGCAAATGCTTGGGTAAATTAATGTCTAAATTATGGGTGTTACTATACTTAACTAACTCACCAAAGATTGAATTATACAAAATGAGTCTTTTGATTGAATACCACTCTACACACATACTGGGTTTCTCTGTGTAGCCCTGGCTGTCCTGGAACTCTCTTTATAGACCAGGCTGGCCTTGAACTCACAGAGTTCTGCTCCCGAATGCTGGAATTAAAGATTAGCACCACCAGGTCCAGCAATGGAATAATCTTTTACTCCCTGGGCGTAACACACATATGCTATTGTTAGTCTATGATCATTTGAGTTCTATTAAATCATTTTGTTGCTGTTTTTGAGTTTAATATAATCTTGATCTATAAGTGGGGAGGGTATTGAACACACTAACATAGTGTATGTGCCTCTTTGAAGGGAAGAAATAAAATTATATTATTGACAATTTACATAAAGCTAAGGCAGATTTTTTTTCTGTAATTTAAGATAAAAATTTTGCCCTGGGCCAGTGGGTAAAAAGCTCTTACCACCTGATGATCTGAATTTGCTCCCCAGAACCTCCATAGTGGAAGGAGAGTGGCTTCTGCAAGTTGGCCTCTGCTCCCCACACTCATAAAAATCAATAAATATGATTTAACAATCTAACATGAATTTGCCTTGATAATCTAGACTTTTAACCCAAAGTCTAATTACTGAACCAATGTTAGTGATTTTTTTTAAATTTTTTTTTCTTCAAAAATCAAATATCACCCAGGAAGCTGCCTCCCCCTTCCAGGTTCTCTGCTAATTAATTCCTGGGTTACTACTCCTGTCTGCACAATGGATGGGTTGATTGTCAGGTTTTCCTTGGTCCCGCTCAGCCCACCTTTGGACCTCTCCTTCTATAACATAGTTAGATTGGAAACCTTTGCCTGCAAAGAGGAAAACTGAGTGATTTTTGTAATTGTCCCTCTCTTCATAAAGCAAAATTCCAGAACAGAACAACAACAACAAAAAACCCAGTGACCACATAGTCCAGAATTCATAAATTGGTGGAGCTTTCTCATGAGCTCTCTGCAGCATAAGCCCCATCTGTGTTTCCAGCTGCATGACGGGAAGGCCCCGGGTCCTGGGACTCCCCAGAATTTTCCTGTCTCTGTTCACTCATCATTACCCCTCCTAGGATACAGTTTATCCTTTTGTTCTCGGAAATCCCAGTTTCTGAGGCTGGAGAGACAGTTTAGTGGTTCTGCTCTTCCAGAGGACCCAAGTTCGAGTCCCAGCACCCACATCAACCACCTATGACTCCAGCTCCAGGGGATCTGACACCCCGACCTCCAATGGCACTTGCACTCCAATGTGTATACAAGCACACGTATGCATAGTTAAAAGTACAAAAAACTTAAAACTCCATTTCCTACACATTGCCCTTTTTTGTTGTTTGTTTCTGTTTTTTTTTTTTTTTTTTGAGACAGGGTTTCTTTGTGTAGCCCTCACTGTCTCAGAACTAGCTCTGTAGACCAGGGTGGCCTCCAGCTCACAGAGATCCTCCTGTACCTGCCTGCATGTGCCTCTGTCTGGGATTAAAGACACGTGTTATCAACGCCCAGCAACAACCCTTAATGTAGTCATTTTATGCCTTTGGTTCTTTGGTCTCCACGGTACCCACAGCACGGCCCTTCACTCGCAGGCTCTTGGGTGACAGCCTAGGCTGGATGGGATGTGGATTTGGGCCTGGGTCTCCTGTTAAGTCACTAAACCTGTCAGTCAGGACTAAGCCACTCCACTAGTATCCACGGAAACCTCTATGGGTAACTAAGACGTCACAGGGGGAAACCTGAATCCTAGACAGAGACTCTTTTAGTCAGTGGCTAAATATTCTGCTTTCTGTTCTAAGTGTTTGGCATGGAATATAACATTTTTAAAGGATGGCAGAAAAGTTATTTCGGTATACAGGTTTTATTGGAAAAACTGTGTTCTCTTCTGAAGTGTCCTTCAAAGATGAAATGCATAACTAATTAACCATTTTTCCTCTCAGTGTCCAATTGTTCTTGTGTTTCTCCTCTAGGCTACTAGTCAGTGCATCCCAAGATGGAAAATTAATTATTTGGGATAGCTATACCACAAATAAGGTAGAATTTCTTCATCTTTCTCTTAAATGATCTTGTATTTGTTTACCGCCTGCCAGTTTCTTCTTATTCATAGCCCCTCCTTCTAAGATGAATTTATTCTAGATCCAGACCCGCTATTAGGACAGACACACTTGCTTTTAGTGCTGAGCTCTTTTTATTTCTAGGAACACACTGTAAGAATAATGTCTGTGTCAATTTGAGTTTTCCTCCCTCCCTCTTCCTCCCTCCCTCCCTGTCTGTTCCCCCCACCCCTCTTTCTCTCTTTGACAGGCTCCTGTTTAGCCCAGGCTAGTCTTGAAATCTATGTAGCTGAGGCTGGCCTTCAGCTCTTAGTTGTCTTGCCTCTGCCTCCTCAGTGCTGAGTTTACGGCCATGCGGCACCACACCTGCCTGTGAAGACCGTCATTGTTATATAGACACGAACTTTTACAATTTCCAGTTCCTAGGATGAAATAACACTGACCTTTTTGTTTGGGGTAGATTATGGGTGATGGTTCCAGGACAGCTTTTCCCTGGCTTCCTCCAGAGACCACTTGGCTTTTCTGGGTGACTTAGAAGATAGACACATTGAATTGGTTGAAATCTAATAGTGAAAATCTGGATTTTCTTACTGTACCCAGCATAAGGAATCCTTGATTCCAGGTTGCTGAGTAGCAGTGAAAACATGGAGGGAGCATATTTTCTAAGTCAGGTACTTTTGTACATTGTATGCATTAGCAGTAACTGACTGTGCAGTCAGAAGCAGTATTTGGTGAGATGAGCAGTCCTTAAGCCTCTCCCCCTGGAGTGCTGAGGCCGGACTCAGGTCCTTGCCCGTACACAGCAGGTGCTGTGTCCATGAGCTGCACACTCAGCCTGACTGAGACTTCAAAGGTGACTAATTTGTAAGCTAACAGCTTTTGTATCCTAATTGGTATTAAGCTAGTCTCGTTCAAACCTATTTTCCTAAACCAGAAAACCAGATACACTTTTATGATATTATTTTAGGTCAAGAGGAAGCGTGGTAGTATCTGTACGAGGATGTGTGGACACCCTGTGTGGGGTTAGTCTTGGTAGATCAGACACCTTCAGCTGTTCCACCTGACCTGCTTCTAAGTCTCCTTGAGATCCTGGAATGGATGCTGTTATGACAAGGGCATTCATGCAGGCCCCTTGGCAAAGCCATTCGAACTGGCTCTGTCACTTTTCGGTTCCCTCCCTTTTATGGTTCAGTGGTCAGCACAGGAGATTCCTCTTTTGAGCATTAGTGTGCCAATGATTTTGCTAAAATCTTTACTCATATTTTAGATCTTATTCAATAGGCAGGGGCAAGCAGATCTCTTGGAGTCCAGTCTGGTCTACATAAGTAACTCCAGGCCAACCGGGCTGTCTATTAAGAAAGTTTCTCAAAAAGTAAGAACAAAATACATACATACATACATACATACATACATACATATATCGTTGCTTTTATTTAAAACATTGGAGGGTTCTGGGGCTAGAGATTGGCTCACTTGGCTCTTGCTGCTCTCTTCCAGAGGCCCCAAGCTTGGTTCCTAGAACTTGCATCCGGGGCTTACAACTCCCTGTAGTGCTGGCTCCAGGGCATTCAGTGCCTGTGGTTCTGAGGGCACTGCCCATGATCACACAGGCACACAGTTAAAAATAAAACCATCCCTAAAACGAACACTTCAAGTGCAGGTGGCCTGCTAACACAGAAAGGGGCATCCATCCGACGTGCCTGCGGTGTTTCCAGGTCACGTGGCCTCCTTTCCCGAGCTCCTGCCTGTTGTTCTTCGCTATGCCTGATTTCCAGCAAAGCTTGCCTCATCCTAAGCAGGTTTAGGAGTGCACTGAACACCCTTGTAGTCTTTCCCCATAACGAACCCCATGCCTCTGTGCGTTGTTTGTGTGGTAGATGCATGCCATTCCGCTGAGGTCTTCCTGGGTGATGACCTGCGCCTATGCCCCATCTGGGAACTATGTTGCCTGTGGAGGTTTGGACAACATCTGCTCCATATACAACCTGAAGACGCGTGAGGGGAACGTGCGGGTGAGCAGAGAACTGCCAGGGCACACAGGTGAGCCATTTACCCGCCGCTAGGTCCCCGTCTCCCCCTTCCTGACAGCGGGCACACAGGTGAGCCATTTACCCCCACTCGGTCCCCCGTCTCCCCCTTCCTGACAGCTGAGCAAGGATTCTTGGCGGACTGTGACCAGAGGGAAGCAGCAATTACTGTGGTTTGGAAAGTACTAGCTCCCAGTCATTGTTACTTCATTTTGTTGCGGGGGCTGCCTCTGGGGCCTTGAGCTCACTGAGCATGCACCCTGCATGGAGGTGGACTCTTACCCTTCTGTTTTCTTCTTTCAAATATAACTGTATTACTTTGTAAGCATGAAATTTTGCTACCCCCCAAAATATCCAGACAATCCTAAAAAATACAAAATCCAGCCTTCTGCACTTTCTGCTGCCCTGGAACAAGGTTCGGGACTGTATTGTCTGGCCGCTGGGATCATTATGTCTCCAGCAGCACTGTCACCGGGCGGGCAGCGGTGCTTAGTCCCCAGGCCCTGTTATTCAGGAGGCCCCTGCCACTCCTATCCTTCCCGTCTGTGGTTTGGGTGCTGCCGGCTGACCACTTTTCTACAGGGTCTCACAATAGTGTTTCCCTGCCGTCTGGGGACTCTGGAATGCTGATGGACAGGAATCATGCAAATGTTGCATTTCCCATAACACTTTCACAGTATTTTTAGGGTCTTCCCCAGTGCTGGGCCCATTCTGCCATAGGTTCTAGGCTATAGGAGCACACTCTCTTGGGTGTGTCCAGCCTGCAGCCTACAGACTACAAGGAGCCCAGGGAAGCTATGAATGCAGCCCAATACACTGTCACAGATATACTGAAAATAAAAACACTCCTCACAATTTTTAAAAATCCAACTGATTGGTTCTTAAGCATGAATTTTGTAGATGACAGTGTTGTGGTCACAGGGTCAAGGTTAAACACTGTGCTGCTGCTGCTAACAGGCTACCGTGCTTGATGCAGTCACTTTGAGTGCTCCCGTGTGATACATGAGAGCCTCAGAAGACAGCAAGGAACTGGAACCATTAAAGCAGAGCCACATGGCCCACTGACAAGGCCCTGTTGCCCGAGTTTTTATCCCAATCCTGTGTCACCGGATCGGTGGCCTGACATTTCTGCTCTCCGCTGCAGGCTACTTGTCCTGCTGTCGATTCCTAGATGACGGACAGATCATCACCAGCTCGGGAGACACAACTTGGTGAGTTCCTTCCCAAAGAAGCCTGTCTTCGTGGGCACAGACCCTGGGGCGGGATGCGGTCATTTTGTGTCTGCCCTTGCATTTCCTCACAGTGCTCTGTGGGACATCGAGACGGGGCAGCAGACTACGACCTTCGCAGGACACTCGGGTGACGTGATGAGTCTCTCACTGAGTCCTGACCTGAAGACCTTTGTTTCTGGTGCTTGTGACGCGTCTTCAAAGCTGTGGGATGTCCGAGACGGCATGTGTAGACAGTCTTTCACAGGACACATCTCGGACATCAATGCTGTCAGCGTAAGTGGGGCACGCTTGGCTTTTTGTTCTGTTGGTTTGTTTTGGGGACAGAGTCGTGTAGCCCAGACTATGAGGCTGATGAAACCCCCTACTTCCGATCCCCCTGACCCTGCTGTCTCCACCTCTCAAAACTGCACTGTCTAAGTGCTGAACATGACACCATGATAACAAACAGAGTGCTTTTGTGATTCTTACGACCAGTGTGCTCTTACAACACCAGATCCTCAGCAGGTCTTGATTTGTAACATTTTAATCCACAAATCTGAGTGCTTATTATTTTTAATTTTTATTATTTTTAGACAAGATACAAGATGCACACACAAACACACACACACACACAAACACAAACACACACACACACACACACACACACACACACATTTCTGGGATCCACTTAGTCTCCACACTGTTTTCTGATAGAACCTGGTAGGAAGGCTGGGGTGTGAGGCTCGCCGACACCGCAGCTTGCCCGGTTTCAAAGCTGGCACATGGCAGAACTGGTACCTCCCTGATTTGGCTATCTCTGCAGAGAGCAGCACCCCCTTCCTGAACACTGCACCCTGTATAGCTCTCCTCGACACCGAATGGCTTTTCAGGGTTTGTGTTTATTATTCCCACTCTAAAAGTCATATTCATGGGGTTCTGCAGATTACGACTGTCTAGTTCGCTTTCTATTGCTATGATAAAACTAACCACTGTACCCAGAGTCAGGACCCCCAAAGATCACCAAGAGCTTTTATTATTATTCCAGCCTGCTGGGTCTGACCATCCTATACAAGGGCTAGATGGCAACCACCCGAGAAGGAGGCGGGAGCGTCTTTTAAGCCGTACTGAGGAGTGTCTACGGAAGTTAGGTCATTTTAGATATGATTAACTTAGGCAAGTGGAAATCATATTAGTATGTCTTCATTGGCCAGGGCTAGCCAGGGGTTAGTCAGGACTACAGTTTTCCATTGGGGGCAGGCCCTGTCCTTGAACTGCTATGGGGGCTGGCACAGGCCTGGCCCGGCCTCCTCCTGGCTGTTGCGGGTGTTGAATATTGATTGTCCTTTGTTCTTGGCTTTTCCTAAGAAACCGCTTGTTCAATCTCAGGAAACTGGAAATGAGGCCTGGTCTCTGAGAGAAGCGTGAGCACCTGTTATGGCATCCACTCTGTCCATCCCTAGCTAACAGAAACTTGAGAGGAGTTTATTCCGGCTTACATGTTAGGTGACAGTCCATCACTGAGGGCAGACAGGACAGGAACTCTAGATAGGAACCAGAGGCAGGAGCTGAGGCACAGACTGAGAAATGCCGGTTCCACTTGCTCCCTATGGATTGCTCAGCTTGGTTTTTATAGCCCAGGATTACCTGTCTAGGGACGGTACACAGCACTGTGGACTGGGCTCTCCCACATCAATCGTTCATCAAAAATGCCCCATAGGCTTGCCTACAGGCCCGTCTGATGGAGATGGAGGCATCTTAGCTAAGGCTCCCTCTTCCCAAATGACTATGGTGTGTGTTGAGTGGACAGAACCTGAGCAATACAGAATCAAAGAGAGCAAGTGCTTGGTTCCCCTCTCTCAGGTCAGCCTGCTTATACTATAGCATCCCAGGGAAGGCACACCTGCCCCAGCCATCATGGGTCACTTTTTTTTTTTTTTGAGACAGGGGTTTCTCTGTAGCTTTTTGGTTCCTGTCCTGGAACTAGCTCTTCTAGACCAGGCCTGCCTCTGCTTCCCGAGTGCTGGGATTAAAGGCCTGTGCCACCACCGCCCGGTTATGAGTCACTTTTACAAGGCTGAGTGTGTCCTCTTATAGTCAAAATTACCAAGGGTTTTTTAAAAATACGTACAGTGTGTGTGTGTGTGCGCGCGCGCACGTTTGTGTGCACCTGTGTGAGCAGGTGCTTTGAAGGCCAGAAGAAGGCATCAAATATGGAGCCCCCATAGGTGGGGTTAGAGTGGACTGTAAACTGCTTGATGTGGGCGCTGGGCACTAACCCCTGCTCACCTGTAAGAGCAGCAAGTGCTGTCAGTTTGAAAAATCAGGAACAAATGTTGAATTTTATCCAACACTTTATCTGTTGAAATGTGTGGGTTCCCCCCTTCTCTGTCCCAGCCCCCACCCTGGCTACTGAGTGTTGAATGCAGGCCAACAGGAATGCTAGGCAGGTGCTCATTTTTGTTGTTTGTTTCTTCTTTAGGGCTTGGTAAAAGTTAATTTGTTTATTATTATTTTATTTTTTTATTTTTTTGCTTTTTCGAGACAGGGTTTCTCTGTGGTTTTGGAGCCTGTCCTGGAACTAGCTCTTGTAGACCAGGCTGGTCTCAAACTCACAGAGATCCGCCTGCCTCTGCCTCCCAAGTGCTGGGATTAAAGGCGTGCGCCACCACCACCAGGCGTTTATTATTTTAAATTTTGTGTGCGAGTGATGTGTAGTACGTGTGCATGAGTATGGGTGTAGAGACCTGTGTGTACACAATCAGAGGCCCAAACAAAATCAGCTGTCCTCTTCTGTAACCGGCTACCTTACTACTTAAAACAGGTCTCACTCAACTGGAAGCTTGCCTTCCTGGCTGAGCTGCCTCATCAGCAAAGTCTCAGAATCATCTGCCCGTCCACAGTGCTGGGGTTACACTCAGCCACACCCACAATGCTGGGGTTAAGGACACACTCAGCCAAGCCCAACTTGTCACCCAGGAGCTGGGGATTCAAGCTCCATGTCCTCATGTGCTCAGGCATGCTGAGCAAGTGCTCTCTCCAGCCCTACAACAGTGAGTTTACAGAGACTGATGCTGTTTTCCTTGTTTGTGGGATGAGGCACTAAGTGCCATCTTTGTTGAGTTGTTAGTAAACACTGAGGCCCCTTTTGAAATGAAATAGTTGGGAGAAAAATATTGTATAAATAGGCTAGGCCTTAGGACAAAGACCATGCCATGGTCCCAGCACAGGAGAATTGCCACTGATTTGAGGCCAGCCTGGGCTACAGAGTGAGGTCTGGGACAGCCAGTGCTACACAGAGAAACCCTGTCTCAGAAACCAAAAGCCAAACAAGCAGCAGCAGCAAGGAAAACAAAACAAAAGCCAAGAGTGGCCTGGAGAGGTGAGGATACAGAAGGAAGCGGCCAGGAACACCAGCAGAGGGAGGAGGTTAGGGAAGGCTTTGAACTTCAAGGAACCAAACCACGAGGCTCATGGTGGGAGGAAGGAAGACTTTATGGTCTCGGGTCCTGCAGTCCTCCAGGAATCTATGAGGAAAGCATTTCCTGTTTGGAATGGAGAAGCCGTGTTCACTGAGAGCAGCCTCCGCCATTTCCAGGAACCTGTGAGCCTCGTCAAGCTGCTACCCAGCAGAACTGTGACTGTGGGACTCTTAGTGAAACAGTCCGGGACTGTCTCCCTGTGCTTAATAACAGCTGGAAATAACACTGCCCCATTATATAAATCCTTCTCAAACTTCCAACTCTATAGTCAGATCTGAGAACGAAGAAAGATACGCCAAGAAGCTGAGAGGATATAATTACAACATATTTGTATAATCAGAAATACATTCAATTGAAGCAACTGTATCCCTCAAACAACTTATTTATTTTAAAACCTAAGGGTAGGTTATATTAATACTAAGTTATTAGTTATTAAATGTTAATATTATTTTAAAACCTAGTAGTGTAGTTCAGAGTTGAGCACTTGATCAGCATATATGAGGTCCAGGGCTGATCCCTACACAGGAAAAGAACACAGGTTGTTGCCGGGAATTTAGTGGATGATATAGCAGAGGTTCAATAGAAAAACTAATTAACAGCTGGACAACTGCTTAAGAATGAAGAAAATTAAGTTAGAGCACTACTTTATTAAAGGCTCGTTATTAAATAGACTCCAGATTGATAAGATTAATATGTGAAATTAAAAGAACTAAACCAAGTATGCACTGTTCATTAGGAGCAATGAAGGAAGCTGGGGAGATGTTCAGCTGGTACTCACTGTGCGCACATGAGGACTCAGGTGAAAAGGCTGGCCTGGGAGGACTGCCTGTTGTCAGTCCCAGCACTGGGGAGCAGAGATGGGAGAGAACCCATCTAAACAGCGACCAAAAGAGGAACTAGAGAATGACCCAGGAAAACACCTGATGACTTCTGGCATCACCCTGTGCGCTCCCGTACAAACGTGTGTAAGGAATGAAAGCGGGGTGTGGTGGCACATGCCTGGAATCTCAGGAGGCAGAAGCGTGGGGGGGGGGGGGGATCAGAAGTTCAAGGTCATCCTCAGCTACTCAGTGACAAGGTCAGCACGGGATAAAGGAAATCCTGTCTCAAAAACACAATCAAAGAAGTAAGTGAAGCCTAAACAACCCGACTCTGTGAAGCCTTAACACGCTGGGAGTCACATTTGAGCACATAAAACCAACGTACAGACATTGTTTCTAAACAGTAAGAAATCGGTGTCGGTAGCTCAACTGCAGAAAACAAAACCGTCCTGAGAAAATGGTTCCTGGGAGCTGGAAGTGCTTTGACTAGGCACCCGTGGAAAGGCGCTCTGACCAGGGCTGCAGCAGGAAACGCTACTCAGGTGCCAGGCGTGCCTGGGTCTGTACCCCTCCATCGCCAGTGGAGGGGGAAGTTGTCTGTTTTCTGTCTTTCTGCATGTGTAATGTCTGTGATGTGTGTGCAGGTGTTGTGTAGGCCAGAGGCTGACGTTGGGTGCCCTCTTCACCTTGTTCAGAGGCAGGGTATCTCAGTTGAACCAGTTGACCTATACTAGTCCAGCTAGTTAGCTTGCTTAGGGGATCCCCTCTCCGCCACCCAAATGCTGAGGTACAGGCAGGCCTCCACACTCGGCCAGCATTTACTGAGGGTTCCTGGGCTCCACAGCATGGCACGAGGGTGGCATTCAGTAGCAACCCCAGTGTAGTCTTCACAGGCACACGAGTGCTTTACCTCCCGAGCCATCTCCCAGCCGCAGTGTTCTGTATGTTCTAAAATCTTTCCAATTTATTTTTCATAATAGAATTCTGGACTATTTAAACAGACATCCTGTAAATAGTAATACTTGACTTACGATCAGCATGGGGAGTTTTGGTTTGCTCTGATTCTGAGTCACGTATAGGAACCTCCTCTTAGGCATCCTGGTGGCCCCTGGTCCTGGGAGGACACTGCGCTGATGCTGACTTAGTGTGAACATGCAATCTGTGTCCGCTGTCCTAGTGCAGCACACTGTTCCTGACTCCTAAATGACAGGCACCCAGTACATCTGCGCTGAAATGTATGGATCAGACAGGCGAAGGGCCACAGGCGGCGTTACTAACACTGTGTGCTGCTAACACTGTGTGTTACTAACACTTTGCATGTGCTATTCAGCCTAAATCTTCAACTAAAACGAAAGCCCAGAATATTAAAAATATATATGTATTAGGCCAGGTGTGGTGGCTCACACCTTTGTAACCCTAGCACTTAGGAGGCTGGAGCAGAAGTGTTGTGCGTTCTGGGCCAGCCTGGGCTACATGGCAAGACACTGGCTCACATAAAAAGAAACAAACTTCTCAGCAGTCACTGAAATGGAAAGAAGCAAAATTAGCCTCAGAGCCTGCCCCACCTCCCGTCCCTGGTTCTCTGTCTCCAGGTCTCCGCAGGCATCTATTATGGTGTAGACCAACCTCACCTCCAACGCCAGCCTCTCTGCCTCCATTGTTTTTACCTTGTTGGTTTTTTTCTTTTTAGTTCTTCCCAAGTGGCTATGCCTTTGCCACGGGCTCCGATGATGCCACCTGCCGGCTCTTTGACCTCCGTGCAGACCAAGAGCTACTGCTGTATTCTCATGACAACATCATCTGCGGGATCACGTCCGTGGCTTTCTCCAAGAGCGGCCGCCTTCTGCTAGCCGGCTATGACGACTTCAACTGCAGCGTGTGGGATGCGCTGAAAGGAAGCCGGGCAGGTCAGTGATGTGGCCAAGGCAGGTTCTGTTTCAGGAAGCCTGAAGAGGCTCCCACAGACACTGAGGCCGGCTGGGCATCCGGGAGCTGTCAGAGCAGCAGCTGGGCGGCTCTCCTTTGTATCTTTATTACCTTTGATGGTAGCTGGAGGAACACTTACCCTACTGAAGAATGACATTAGGTCCTAGAATGGGAAATTAGGGGTCAGGAGCAGTAAATATAAATTGGTGCCTTCTTGTACAAATCAGTTTTCTTTTTCTTACATCCTGGTTGGTTTGTTTATTTATTATTCTGAGACAAATCCTTATGCTTGGAAGTCACTATAAAGGCCAGACTGGCCTTGAGCTCAGTGTTACCCTGCCTCAGCCTTCCAAATGCTGGGATTGCTGGTGAATGCCGCCATCATACCCTGCTAAGCTGTCACTTGGGGCTATACCATTGCTCTCTAACCTAACAGGAAGCATGGGTTCTGCAGTGGCTCATGCTCTTGAGGCTGACCCTGAGGATATAGGCAAACTGTCTTCCTGCCTCAACAGGAGCCCTGCCATTAAAAGCCAACATAGCAACCATACTGGAAATGGGATTAAATGGAGTAATTTGTAATGTTAACTGAAATAATTTAAAATTATTATTTTAAAGCTGGGCAGTGGTGGTGCATGCCTTTAATCCCAGCACTCGGGAGGCAGATGCAGGTGGATCTCTGTGAGTTCAAGGTTGGTCTGGTCTACGAAAGCAAGTTCCAGGACAGCTAGGACTGTTACACAGAGAAACCCTGTCTCGGAAAACCAACCAACCAACCAAACATATGGGGTGTGTGTGTGTGTGTGTGTGTGTGTGTATGTATGTATGTATGTATACTCCGTATACACATATGGCTGTGTGTACTTCATTACTATAATACAGCAAACATATTTTCTGCACCCCAAGATAAACTGGTAGGGTGCAGTGGTGTATACCTGTAATCCTAACACTCAGGAGACACACAGGAGGATCACAACTTTGAGGTCAGCCTGGGCTACACATCAAGACCCTCATCTCAGAAAAAAGCTTGAAATAGCACGCCTGTGTTACTGCCAGTTTTCTCCTTTTCCACACATCCCTGTCCCCTGAAACTCCTCCCTGTGCTCCTCACCACTGTCTGACTGACTCAAGAGGAAAGCTGGGATCACAGTTTAACAAGTCAGTTCTAATCTCCATTCTCACCAATCAACCGTTTCTCTCTCCCAGTCAGGAGACAGGTTAGTGGCTGATTCCCTAGTCTTAAGCGGGCATTGGTCGTGTGACTGGCGTCACAGAAGGGCAAATGGGAGGGTGTCACCGCTTATTGTCCAATTGTTAATGCAGTTCTCTTTTGACACACCTGCCCCCACTTAGTCCCAGGGATCCCCATCTCCACTACTGTAGACCTTGTGGCTTCCAGCTCTGTTGCTGTCTTGTGCCTCTTTTGCTCAGTCCCCACCTTTAGAAGCCCTCCCAGAGCTGTTGGACATACAGGCTCTCAGCTCTCACAGGAATTATCTTCTCAAGTCGGTTAACAAATCAGAGTTCAGAGTTTGTACCTTGCAAGTGGATTTTTGTAAATAACATGTTGCCCAATGCCAGCGACTCCAGAAATGAGGAATTCTGTATGTGGCTGTTACCTCAATCTGCTAGCATCCATCAACTCATTTCTAACATGTTTGAGTTCCCGGTTTGCTTTGCTGATAGCTGTCTTCATTGGCGGGCTTAGTACAGTGTCTCACTTTAAAGCCAAAACCAGACTTGGGAGCCCTTCTCTTTCCTGTCCTTTCCGGGTGACTGGAGAGGCCACCTGTGTGCTTTCTTCTTACTTGGTATTCCAAGTAAAGTTGCCATCCATACACCGCCAGACTGGAAACACTGCAGGGAATACTCAAACAGGATACACTTCTGAGAATGAAAATATGCTTAAAGAGAGAGAGTGGCTCTGCCATTGCACTTGAACCTCAGAGACCCTGACCTTCGTGATTAGGGCTGACAGGTGAGGCGGCTCTGAGGGAGCCAGCGACTGTTCACGCATTCCTTGACACGAGAAAATGAAAGGATATTCTCATCTTCATTTGAATATTTGCATTTTCACTCAAATCTTGAGAACTGTTTATTTTGTCCTGTGCAGTAAAAAAGGGGATGAGCTCGATGTCTTCATCAAGTTAAAACCAGTTTGTGTTTGGTGATGAACAGAAAGAACAAAATGAGTGGTCTGGGTCTATTTTGGAGATAGGATGGAAGGCAACTGTCTTGTTCTTGTTGGAAAAGTACACTGTATAGAACTTCCATTTAAAAAATGTGTTTTTATTGAAAGTAGCACAGTTCAGGAGCAGAATAGGAATATCATGAACTTACTAAGATGTGGAATTTGCTTTTACATGTTTTCCTAGGCAGAAAAATTACAAAACTCCCAGGTATAGTGGCACACACTTGCTATCCCAGCACCTGGGGGGTAGAGGAGGAGGATTGGGATCTTAAGATTATCTTTGGCTGGGTCACAAATTCAGGATCAGTCTCAATTTTTCTGAAATGGTGGACAGTTTATTGCCCTGGAAAACTATTCAGCCTGTTGTTGCTCCTAACTATGGTTTAAGGCTCCTAAGTGTTGTAGATAACAGGGTTCATTTTAAAAAGTAGGAGGTGAGTCACCTTTTGAACTGTAAAAACAAGAGACTCTTCTCAATTTTTCTTCCCTTTTTTTTAAGATAATGACTTTTCAGAAATTGAAAGCACAAATTGATGTTTTCGTTTTTTAAAAAAACATTCACGTAACCCACGGTGTGTCGTACTTGACTTACCCTGCCGGCTGTGTCCCCAGGCTGCCTGTTCGTTTTCTAATCACCATCTGCATTTTAATGCACTTTTGCAGTTCTGAAACTCCAGTTTTAACTCTGTATTGACCTTTCTTTGTAGGTGTCCTTGCTGGTCATGACAACCGTGTTAGCTGCTTAGGCGTGACTGATGACGGCATGGCTGTGGCCACCGGCTCCTGGGACAGTTTTCTTAGAATCTGGAATTAACAGTGTCCTGTGTTCTGTTCTCCAATGGCTATCTGGAGATCCATGCTACAGCCTACAGCTGTGAGAAGAAACTCTACCTTCTGTTTGCGGATGAGGATTTTTCTATTGAGATGACTACATACGAAAGAAAGCGTCTTTGAATAAAGTACAGCCAAATGGTGGTCAGAGACAATCAAGACTAAGGTCCCTTGCTGAGGGCGAAGGGCCTGGGTATTGAGCAGTTGTGCTGACATTGAGCCCGACAGATTCCTGCTTATGCTGGTCCTTTCTCTGTAGATTAGAATGCACATTCTGTAGCGGGTGACTGTGTGTTTGCATTTTGTTAGGGACTCCCCTTGAACTCTGTATATATGAGAAACATCACATTTTTAAAGTATTGTCATGGTAGAGCCAGGACCCGTAATAGGCAGAAGTGATATTGTAGATATATGTGCTGTCTGAAGGTGTCCCCTTGGGCTCTGACATTGCATTTGAGTCAGGATGGCCTCATGATTAGGAGGGCTGATAGGTGAGGTGGCTCTGCAGAAGCCAGTGGCTGTTCATGCATTCTTTGCCATGCTGGGGATCTAAGTAAGTGCTCCTTTTGAGTCATTTGAGGGGACAGGTGATGTGAAGGCCAGGGGGTAAAAATTTCACCGACATAGGGGGGCACACTGAAATGTCATTACAATTTATTATAACCAGTAGACATTGGCATGTATGTTAATTTTTGGTATTCTAAAAGGTTGAGCCCTTTGAACCTTTAGATCTTGCTGTTAATTTCACATTCTGAAACCAAGTTTTGTAGAATGTACTAGTATTTCAAAAGTTTGACAAAACCTGACTTGCCCGTTTCTGAAGACTCCTGTCCAGTATTCTCTGTAATGGGTAGGAAACAGTGGCTCACCTTTAACATTTTTGAGAAATGTAAACTCATCCACTCAGCTGGCACTAACATATATAAGATGGCTTTATGAATTCTGTGTAATGTGAGATCTGAATTGGTATAAATTATCTGCACCCTTAAACCTTTGCTCTTCTATTTTGGTGGTGCTGCAGAAGGAACCTAGGGCCTTGTGCCCACCAGGCTTGCTCTGCACCCCGGCTCCTCAGATGCAAGCAAGCGTTCTGCTGCCGTGCAGTAATTCCTCCAGAGCACGACATACCTGTTCCTACGCAGCTTGCAGCTGAGTGTGCAGAGCTGGCCCCTGGAGCCTACAGCATCGTTTCAGAGGGTCCGCTCACAGCAGGCTGTCCAATTGCTCTGTCCAGCCTCTCCTCTAGTTTTCTCCTAAAATTTAAATGACTGACAATAGCAGACTGTTACCTCTTGCGGGGTGCTGCCTTCATGGGTTACCCGGATGTATACAAAACATTGTTTGAAACTCAGTAACACATATGTTGCTGTTTAATAGTTTGTTAAAGTTGATCACCTGTAACTGTAACTTTAACACTTCCAAACTCTGGCATTTTCATCCTTATACTGTGACTGTGCCCGTGTATGTGTCTGCTGGGATGAAATCAGCAGCAGCTTTATTAAGGTCAGTTGCGCTTCACGTACTACAATGAACAGAGCCTCCTCCCCGACTGGACCTGAGTGGGGCAGAACGGGAATGAAAAGCTGACAGACACAGGAGAGCTGGGGCCATGGAAGAAACTGCAGCCCCCAGGAAGTGAGTTTGTTACATGGAATGGCCCAGAGGTGGTGCTGCTGCATACAGGTGAACAAGGAGGCAGCCTTTACGGTACGCAGCTGGACCACGGAGACAGGGTTAGCTAGTCTGGGTGAGGGCGCCATGGTGGACACGGCCCACCAACACTCATACTCAAGCCATTCTCCCGCACGTCCTTGTCACAGCAGCGCCCGTGTCACAGCACACATTCGCTCCCAACAGCAGAGAGGTGAACCGAGATAGAGTATTGAAGAGAAACAGACTATCAATGACAGGTGTGACTGTACCTCAGTCCTCATTCTGGGACCCCTTTGCTCTTGCCTATTTGTGAAATAGGGAGGTTACTTTATGAAGCATAGCTCTCTGAAATAGGGCACAATTTACTTAAAAGGGAAGAATAAAAAAGACAGTGCTGGGCTGGAATCTGGCCCTCCTTGTATGTGCTGCGCTGTACCTCTGGGCTGCACCTGCAGCCTGCCCCACCCAAGCCAGAGTTGAGGCACACTAGAGGATCACAATCATTTCCCCAAAAGGGTGTGTTTCCAAGACTGCTGTGTAACTCAGAACTCATCCAAAACTCTGTGCAAAACAGCACTTCTAATATGTATTTTAAAACGGGGCTAAAGGATTTAATCTGTGGTAAAGTGCTTCAAGCGCAGGGCCCTCGGTTCAGTCCTCAGTTTTGTCGGTCAAAAGTCATACTGAAGAATTCTATGGCCCTAAATATTTTAAAATGGAATTCAGGGCATGAGAGTTGGCTAAGCAGATAAGAGCACTTGTTACTCTTGCAGAGAACCTGGGTTCAATTCCCAGCAACCATGTGGCAGCTCACAACCACCTGTAACTCCAGTCTCAGGGAATATGACTCCCTTGGACACAAGGCAAACATTTGTACACATAGATCTATATTTAAAAAGGGGGTGTGCTTTCATGTTATTCAAAGCTTGTCCCTTACAATGCAGCTGGAGAGTAACCATGCGAACGAACATATGGCCCACTGCACACAGTGCCAATGTTTGGCACAGTAGTGACCGTAAGTCAAGCTGCTTTCTACTGGTGGGTACCTTTAGGGTTTCTCTGCAGTTTGTTGTGGCTAAATACACTGGCTTGCCTGAGACATCCCAAAATTAGCCTATATAATGTGCCTTAGCAGGTTGATGCTTAGCATGCAAAACATCAAACAAAGTTTGAGACCGGCAAGATTTTTAACATTTTGCTATGGCTTCTGCCTTGGCCTCTAGCTGAGTCCACAGCATTTTCCCCGAGAGTATTGCAAAGGCACACAATCTTTTCTAAGACATTCCTCAACGTGCTGTTCAACAAGGACAGCTCTACCCTGAGATGAGCAAGTTCATTTTTGGCAGCTATGCTCCATGTAATATTCCAGGTCCCTTATGAGCTTGGACTCAGTTGTGATACACATATACTGTATTGAATTCCAAATTCATAAAAGCAGTGAGTGTTGGGCTCTGGTCCCTCAAGTTCAAGTCTAGTCAGTGGCTGTCATTTTAATTTAGACTTGGCCAGCTGATTGATGATGTGTTTCTGAGATGTAAGGAACTTGAATCTGAACATGACCTAGTGCAGTCCCGTAACCCTTCGCCTGGGGGGTTGCATGTGAAGGACCACAGAGGGACCACTGAGAGTTGAGGCCAGTCAGCAGGGCTATGAGGTGGAAACCTTATTTATCCCAGGGACTGGAGAGATGGCTCTTGTCACAGAGCATGAGTACAGTTCCCAGTTCAACTGCCTGTAACTTCAAGGGGCCCAAAGCCCTCTTCTGGCTTTCTCAGGCCCCGCACACACAAACCTAATTTAAACAAATCCCCCTTTGAAGAAAAAGAAACCCTATCTTAAAAAAAAAAAAAAAAAGACCATAAAAATGACCATTCTATTGTTGAAAGTACTCTCCAATTCCATTCAAGACTTAGGGTTAGGAGTAAAACTAAGCCTTTGTTTTAGAAGTGAAAGTATCCAGGGAAATTAAGTGGGTACGAACATCTTGGATTTTGAATCATAATGCACATTCTTGTATTAACTAGCCTAGAAAAACTGAATAAGCAGACCCCAGATGGACCCTGCCATCATTTAAATACGGAACATCCCTTTAGACTCTGCAGATCAGACCTGGCTTGTACTGTATTTGTTTTCTGGCCACTGTGGAAAGCACTGGTTTTACCAAGATAATCTTAAACTGATCCTGTGGGACGTGAGGCGCACAGCAGGCTCACTTCTGCTGGTCACTGCTTACAACAGGTGCTCATGGGATGTCTGAGTCAGCACTGTTAGCCACAGGCAGATGGAACATCTTGTATTTAGGAAATATTTTCCATGTTTATAGTTTTCTAAGAGTTTTTTTTTTCTTAAACCCAATGGCTGATTTTGTAAAACAGGTGTAATAATGTAGCATTATGAGGAAAAAAAACTTTTCAATTATAAGAACTGTATCCAACAAAATCTTCCATAGCATACTCTGTTAACTCGGACTTCTGTGATACAGCTGTAGGCTGTCCAACCCCTTCTGTCTTTATACAATGGTGCTCTAACCTATCATTTTCTCCTCGAAGAGGCTTCTCTTTGAACATCTGCATTGTCTCACCGAAGCCATCAGATAGCATAAATGTGTCTTGAAGCAGATTTGAGAATTTTTTCTATAAGGCACCTTGGAAATGTCCTCAAGTATTTTCAACACAGCCAGCTGAATATGAATGTCAGCCATATGTCTAAAGCTTTCCCATACAAGCAGAGGACCTGTGCCAGGATCCAACAGTGCTGAGCTAGAACAGTGATCCCTTATTTGTACAGTAGCTTATGCAATGCTGTTGTAGTGAGCTGTACTATACTCTGTAATCAATAAAGTGCTTTTCACTGTCTTCATTGTACCATGTTTTAAGTCAAATTTTAGTGAGATTTTTAAAATTAAGTCCCAGAACTAATTCAAATTTAGTATTTCCATAGTTAACTATACTTCCTTTGTTTAAATGCTGTTTTTGTTGTTGTTGTTTAAAAAGAAAGGAAGTAAGGGAGAGACTGGCGTGTCACTGACCCAAAGCTAGCTTTTAGTTTATTATTAAAGCCACCAATTTCTCATTCACAGATAGGTCATTCCTTCCCGTGTGGAGCACAAGAGCAGGTCTGTAGTTCTAGTAGTTGGGAGACACACACAGGAAGATCCCAAGTTTGAGGCCAGCTTGGACTACATGTAAGACCCTGTCTCAAAAGAAACAACATGCTTCCCCTGTAGCTCTCTTGGGGTAATTTAGTTCCATTTTTTAAATTGAAAAAAAAAATCTATTCAATGTTTATATCTCAATTTTAAGATTAATGAAAGAGTTTGAAATAGTTACCAAGACAAACATAAAACATTAGAGTCAGGCATGATACACGCCTTTAATTCCAACATTTGGGAGGCAGAGGCAGGTAGATTTCTGAGTTTTGAGACCAGTCTGATCTACAGATCAAGTTCCAGGATGGCCAGGGCTACACAGAGAAACCCTGTGTCGAAAACACCACCTACAGAAAAGGTTTGTATTCTACCTGTTTAGGGAGTCCTGCTGGCTCAGTACTTACAAGTTGCATGCCTACCACGGAAAACCTCTCAAACTGCCACTGACAGTGGCAAACCGGGGATCTCTCCCTGTGACTGGCCAAAGGAACTAAATGACAGTGGTGCTGTCATGGGGGCCTCGGGTGTGAGAAAGACTTCCATGACTATCATGAGAATGACTGGGATAGAAATGAAAAGTCACTAACAGATAGATGCTGCATTTATCAACTAACGGCAAATAGGTTTATTGTCACCTTTCAAGCTTGCATACTTATAAAAATGTTTTGTAAAAAGTTAAAGATCATATAAAGTTTATAAAACTGTAAACATACACAGTAAATCATCAAGTATGTGTGTAGTAACTGAGCAGAAACAGTCATGATTATATTCTGTGTAATGCATGAGCCCAGCCACAGGTGCACTCTAGTCTGGTAGAAAAGCTGGCTTCCAGCAGTAAAACAATCTTTTCTCAACAGCCACGACTTCATCAGCTGGGAACTGCACTCCTATCCAGTGACGGAAAGCATTCTGAACTATGAACACTCATTCCCAGACTGAGAGTACACTGAGATCACCTGGAGGGCTTCTTGAAGCTTGCTGCAGACTCCAAACTTGATATGATTCTACAACTCTGTGTTGAGCTTGAGAACCTGCACTTACAAGTTTCAAAGTAATGTTGATAACCCAGTGATCAGACCCAGAGAACTACACTGAAGCATGCTAATTATGTGGCCAGAAGTTAAAGTGCTCGGTGTAACTTTGTAACTTAGGTTAGCAGACCTTGATTTCAGATAAGTTTTTCATGTAATTTTCACCTAATCACACTTGGTTACCATTTGGGGGGGTGAAATAGCAGCAATAAAAGCAAAATGTAGTCACGTGTGTTTAAATTTGAATACTGCAGCCCTAAACCCAATTTTCCTAAAGCGTAAGTAAGTTTGAAACTTTTTGATGGTCTAAATAATGGTATAAAATATTAGCCAGGCGATGGTGGCGCACGCCTTTAATCCCAGCACTTGGGAGGCCGAGGCAGGCGGATCTCTGGGAGTTCGAGGCCAGCCTGGTCTACAAGAGCTAGTTCCGGGACAGAAACCAAAGCTACAGAGAAACCCTGTCTCAAAAAAAATCAAAAAAAAATATTGTAACATTCTTTAAAATTTTAAAAATAAAAGATGTACCTATGGTAGGCGCACACCTTTAATCCCATCACTTAGGAGGTGGATCTCTGTAAATTCAAGGACAACCAAATGGAGTGCACTGTCCCCTGGATGGCACAGCTGGCATCTACAAAATACCCACAGGTTAGCACTTTATTTTCATGGTCAGGTCAGAGAAGCAACCTTCCTTGCCATTTAAAAGTACTTCCATAGACACTGTCAACCGGCCTCTAACACAGAGGAAAACATAATACCCGAACCATAAACATTTCACTAACACAGTGATTTTTGTGGTTGTTTTTGTTTTGTTTTTTTCAAGATGGTTTCTTTGTATAGTAGTCCTGGTTGTCCTGGAACTCACTTTGTAGACCAGGCTGGCCTCGAACTCACTGAGATCCACTTGTTTCTACCTCCTGAGTGCTGGGATGCCACCATTGCCTGGCAAGAGTGATAATTTTTAATGGGGTCCAAGGAAATTCATGTAATTAAAGTCAAAGCTTCTAGTGGGGACAAGCCCAGTGTGTCAGTGAGATTCCTCCCAAGGATCCATTTGTCACAGTCATGTCACCATACACCACGTACACCTCCTGTGCCCCATGCTAGCCATCCCTTCTGACTGTCCACCTCACGTTTAGGCAGAAGACCTCTCCTTGTTGGACTCAAGGCTGGAAATGTTAGAGACAGAGCAGAAGACCAGAGCCAGATACTTCATATGTGACTATAATGACAGGCCCTCCTACGATTTCACATGAGTTTTAATGAGGATAAAACTGTGTAGTAATGGTTACATCCTTGCTGTGAGGGCGAAACCCAGGAGCAGCCCACACTCCCTGGTGTGAACAAATCATCTGATAAAGAAATTCCGTATTCCCATTAAAGAAGGCATCAAGAACTAGTGAAGGAAGATGAAAAGATCTCTAACTCCTGGATGCCAGGAAGCAGTTACTCAGAATCAAAGACAGAAAGCCCTGGTTAAGAGTTGCAGGACGCCTCAGAGGCTGCACAGCTGGTTCCACTGATTCTAAAGGACCCATCATTTAACCTGATAGTTCAGTCTTTAAACTACTGCTAATGATGTTATTGCGACACTTCAAAAAGTGTGACCCCCCCAAGACAGGTCATTACCACAGTCTCTGTAAGGCATCAGTACTCAGAGTAGTAATTCATACTGAGGTCATTTCATAAAAATAGTTCTCCCCTTCTTCCAAGTCCACTTCCTCCAATGCAATCAGCACAGCAACCTTTGTTAAGATTCTTCATTGCTTGAGTGCAGAAATTGCTTCGAAAAATTCTCCAGCTCACTTTCAAGTTGAACGGCTTTATTTCTAGTTAAGACAATGAATACACCTAATTATCCGAACAGTCAGTGAGAAAAATATGTTTTATCCAAACTGAGAAACAGTCCTCTAAGCAGCTGTGGCCATCCTTATTGAAACTCATATATGACTGTTACCACGTGGCTCCTGCCATGCTCACAGTGAACACCTCAGAGTCTGGAGCGGTAATAAGGTGTGGACTTCAGTATTAAAACAGTCTAACAGATAGCTTAAACAGGAGTCACATCTTACTTACATCACGGTCATAACTATACAGTGTAAAGTACTGAATGACTCACACACTACATGCAAAGAAGCTGGCAAGGAACACATTAGGACTATATTTGATGTAATAAACTGTCTGAGAGGAAGCTTTGACTGAACTGCCAGATGCAGATCTACACAGCATATTCGCATACCATGCCAGGGCATATACTCACAAAGAAGGGACTCTATTTGGAGAGGAGTTGTTTTGCCCTCTCTGCACGTGTGGCTGAGGTCACAGAAGTGAAATGTACGTATGCTGGTGAATATATTTCTTCAGGTGACACTCTTGAGACACTAGACAGGATGGCTGAGCCTAAGTTGGTACAGCTGTAATCCCAACCCACCATGCGCTGCTAGGCTAGACTGACCTCTAAGAGGACTGCACTGTGAACATCAGAGTGCACTTGGACACACTCGGGGCTCACAGACACTACACACCTGGGCTGTGCTGCAACCTACTGTCTAGGCTGGAAACTGGCTTGTGGTGAGAACGCTACAATTCATGAAAACAGAAGTTAAGCACTGTGCTGCACTGTACCCTTGCAAAGGTGATGACGAATGTGAGCGCTGTGTTGACACATTTTCATTTGACTAATTACATATGCACCCCAAACTCAGGCCATGAGGACCATCCTCCAATCTGTAAACACTAGCCATAAAGCTGTTCTTTGATGCAGAGCTATAAGCTGTATGATCCCTGAGTCAGCAGTGTTGCTCAGGTGGTACACAACAATACGCCCAGACATGCTGGTAAGGGAGTAAAAATAACTGCCAAGTTAGACCTGATGGTGACACTTGCACTACTGTCTCCCAAAGGATCCATAATAAGTCATAACAAAGCAGAAGTCCAATTTATCAGGACACTTGTATATTCACTGCTTCAAAGCAAGTGTCCTCAGTCCTCAGAAAGAACAGAAGCTATGTTTTTGGTTTTATTTGTTTGTTTGGGTTTTTTTGAGTAAAGTCTCCAGTGGTCCAGGCTGACCTTGACCGTGCTGACACAATGCCCAACTGTCATTTTAAATTACTGAACTTCTGTTCTGAAAGAGAATTATCCTAGCCTAACAGACAGTAGAAGTCCTGGAAATTTCCTTTGGCTCAGATGGATTCCTGCTGCAACTGGCTTTCACTGAAATTTCAGAGCACGAGGGAATATAAACATGGACAGTTACTGTCTTTTTAAAAAGATTTATTTTATGTGTGTTGGCCTACATGTATGTACTTGCACTTGCTTGACTGGTGATGAAAAATGTCAGAAGGCACAGAATCTCTTAGAACTAGAGTTATAAGTGGCTGCTGGGTGCCCTTTCCTGTCTGTATACAGTCTTTAGTTTTATGAAGTCCATGTGGGTGCTGGGAACCAAGTAGGTTTCCCCGGAAAAGTATCAAGTATTCTTGCGAGCCATCTCTCCAGCCTCAAACATGAACTCTTAATTTAAACCAACAAGAAAAGTTAATTTAAAAGTTCTAATACAAAGTCATTAGTGACGTTCATGTTATTGAGAGGGAAAAAGTTTACCTTAAGAGCTTTGAGTTGTTTTGTATTTTCTCCAGCTGATCTATTTCTTTGGATAATTTAGCAATTTCTTCTTCCAGATGTTTTTGAGTAACATCAACTTGTTGGCACAGTCTAGCAAAAGTGGTAGCCATTTCTCTAAAAAGAGAGAGAGAGAGAGAGAGAGAGAGAGAGAGAGAGAGATGTTTTCTGAAACAAATATATATTAATAAGAAAACCTTAGTTTTGTTTTTGAGACAGGGTTTTGTTTTGTTTTGAATATAGTCCTGGCTGTCCTGGAACTCAAATCCACCTGCCTCTCTCTGCCTCTGGAGTGCGGGGACTAAAGGTATGCACCACTATGCTCAGTTAAAGAGGAAAACTTCAATACTAGCTAAGCCAGAAGGCCAGCACGACACTTGGAAGCTTAGGACAACTGCAGGCTCCTTTTATTTTACCTGAAGACAACATACTCACAAGACTTGGCTTCAGCTGCCACAGGGCCATGAATACAAACCAGACAAATGCTAGGACTGCTAGAAGAAAACAAAGGCAGCACCCTAGAAGACAGAGGAGCAGAAGAGGACTTTCTGAAGAGGACCCATCAGTTCAGGAGTTTAGGCCAACAACTGACAAGAGGAAACTCATAAACTGACAAGCCTCTTTACAGCAAAGGACACAATCAACTGGAGGAAGAAACCCACAGTGTGGGACAGAGCTTGTCAGTTGTAAATCTGAGAGATTAGTATCCAGAATGTAGAAAGAACTCAAAAAAACAAAAGTCAAGAAAACAAACCACCCAAGTAAAAAAAAAGGGGGGGGGGGCTTTAGATCTGAACATAGTCCTCAAAAGAAGAAAAATGGCTTAAGAAATATCTCAAAAATTATTCTACCATATGACCCAGCTGCTGGATTCAATCTCCTCTTTCAGACATACTTGCTCAGCTCATTGGTGCTCTATGGAAAACTGTGAGAAATGGACACATACATGTCCTTCAGCTGATGGAAATGTGGTACAGAAACACTATGGAAAACTGCTCAGCAGCAAAGAAAAATGAAATCATGAACTTTCCAGGTAAATGGACAGAACTAAAAAAGATCACACTGAGTGAGGTAACCCAGACTTAGAAAGACAAATACATGCACTCTTATTTATGGATCCTAGTTCTGAATCCTTATTACACTTACTTACACACACACACACACACACACACACACACACACACACGCAGTTTAAATGAAGTTTCACTACTTGGGATGGTGGTTCTCTCATAAGAGTCACAGAATATCTAACAAAAACCCCAGTGCAACTCAAAAAACCTCCCCTTGCGTTGCTAGGTAGGGAAAATCCAAAAGATTTCCCAAACATAGGCTACTGCCGTTGGCCTTGGTTTCACCCCAGAACTTGAAGGGAAGACCCTAATGCTGAAGACACCACACGCTGGACACAGACTGGGCTGAACTGATTAGAATTGGCATGCAAGGAGCACAAGCTCTAATGCCATCCAAAGGAGCTATGCATGCACACTGCCTAGGAAGAAAAACAATCAATAGTCCTGCCAAGCCATAGAGCCTAAGGGCCACAACAATGACCCACTAACCAAGATATCTCCAATGCGGTTATAAGTTGGGGG